TTTCCTGAGCTGTCCCTTAGTTATGCTGCTATAGGTTTAGACTGCTGGAGGACAATCTGACTTCTTCATCTTTTCACTCTGCTACTGTCTTTACTTACTCTGCTCAACCTGTTTTGTATTTCTAATTATTTTTCTATTCTTAACGGGGTTTTTTGTCTTTCAGATATACCTGGACCTACCATTCTGTGTTCGTCTGTCTCTCCTTCCTGTCCTCTCAAACCAGCCGGTCAAAGCAGATGGCCTCTTGTCCTGGACCTGGTTCTGCTGGAGGTTTCTTCCTGTTAAAATTAAGTTTTTTCTTTCCACTATCTCCACTGTGCTTGCTCAGGATGGGAGACTGCAACGAGATTCAACTTGTCTGCTGGATTCCTAAGATAGAGACCTTTACTAACTGGCTTTTATGTGAAAGTTTCTGTAAAGTGCCCTGAGACAACACGGGGCTCCATCTGATTCTCACATTTCTTTTTCAATGGTTTTTTTTTTTTTTTTTCCAGTTCCCAGCTGTTTTTAATTGTTCAATTTTTTTAAAAATCTGGAGTTCATATTAAATTAATTCTGCATGCACATATATTGCAGTATTAATGTTTTTAACACTGTATATTTTGCAACCCTGCTTTGACTGTTGGATTATAAATAACCCACAACTCAACAAGTAAAAATGATTCTGTCATATTTTACAGTTGTTTTTTTTTTTTTTTAAATGCATCACGTTACATATAATAACAGTAATTAGCTTTATTTAGCTGCACTAAACAGAGAAGCACTGCTGCCAATTTGAAGCAATTAAAAAGATGATAAACTACAATCCTGCCTGGTTCAATACACTGCACAACCTCAGAGGTTGTGTCATTTAACTATATTGATCTTAAGGTATTTGATTAGAATAAAATAAATGAGGAAAGAACGAGCTGGTAGGAGATTTAGAGTATATTCCAGCAGAATGCACAACATTTAAAGACATCGAGACGTTTTCCAAGCATGGTGGATGCATTTATGTTCATCGTCGATACAGGAGTCCCGGCTTGTCATGGTCAATGTTCTACCAGCGTGGTGTGCAGCACTCAGCTGAAACATTCAGAACCCTGGGAGAGCGCTCAGCAGAAGAGACCTCTTAATGTTTAATGTAAGGTAATGTGCACAAGTCGGCTACAGGAAGGCTTCTCTAACAGGAATCACGCAGAGTGCTGTGGACGGAGTCACCTGACAAAGCTTTGTGAGGTCAAAGGTTATCAAATCAACAGAAGTTTATGATGGACATCCAGGGCATAAACACCTTCAGTGAGTGTAACGTCAAGGTTAGGATTTTAAAAAGCTGCAAAAACCAAGACAGGAAATACAATAAAAAATATGTTTCAGTTTCTTTATATCCTAAATATATTTTACTGTTTTATAACATTTGTTGCGGTGTGATATGTACAGTTTATTTAAAAAGAAAAAAAAAAAATCCAGAAAAGGAATGCAATTTTTATTAAATTATAGTTTCTGAACACAACGTTTTAATTTATTCTTGAGTGATCATTTTGTGCACTTTGAGGGGAAAATCCAGCCGTCACAAGTTATGGGGAAAATAGTTTTGTTACTATTTTTTTCAGCAAAAAAACAAAAAAAAAACGTTTATTATAATAAAGTTTTTTAATTTATTTACTTATAAACTTTGCCTTAATCTATCCTGGGTTTTAACTAATAAATGATCCAAAGGAAAAGTTACAAAACACTAAAAACTTAAAAATCGTCAAAATTCACCGTAATTATGAAAAGTATCGTATCAGTATCAGCGATATTGGTATTTACTTGGTATCGATCGATACCAAATTTTGCAGTATCGCACACCACTAATTTTCAGCAGCCAATCATTTTGGCCCACGTTTCCTGGGAGTCAGCGGTGACACATAATAAAAGTTACTTACATGTATATATGTTGTTTTTCCTCTTCGTGGTGCTTTTTCCAACTGATGCAACTTATCTTATACGCGGGAAAATACAGTATCGTGCCCTCTCTTCCAGCTGATAAAAAGCTTAACAGAAAGCAGAAAGAGCCTCTATCCACATATCACACTGCACCACCAGTCTATCTTTATTACAAGTTCCTCCAAATGAACAACGGCTGGTTTATTTGCTCATAGATGCTCATTTATGGGATGCTGAATGTCACTTTGTATGCGCGCTCTGTTTGTCAGGTCTCTATTCCTCCCTGCAGCATGTGAAGGCGAACAAGCTGTAGAGGTGTTACGGGAAATAGTTTTCTGCTAATTCAGTTTTAAGAAATTCTATGAAGTATTCAAAGGCGGGCCGGCTAAAACAAGCACCGCAGCGTTTGCAAAGCAAAAACATGCAGATCACTTTCGCCTGACGTCTTCCGAGTTTGACATCTTGTCTTTCTGCTGCGAACCGATTCAAGGTGTTTATGACCTAAATCTCTCTGAGCTCCGATGTGGAGGAAAGTTACAGCGTTAGTCTGGAATCGACACAAAACTACGGCGTCTTGTTGATGAGATCATTTGAAGCTGAGCCAAACTACACAAATCCACATCTTACTCAGTAAATCTAACCCAGATCTGAATCAGACTACTGTTCCAAGACAAAGCATCATTTCTGATGTAGGTCAGACAAATCAGCAAAATATCACACTAACCACTACACACTTTAATAAAACTCTAATCATTAGGAAAGCATCTCCAACTACCTCCTTTCAAGATGGCCGCCACATTTCAGCAACCCAAGAAAACGGTTGCAACTCTGGATATGATAAAAGTATAGGCTTAAAAGAATGACACCAACATCTAACAGTTTAATTTCTATACAACCAGGAGCTAAAACAGGCAGCATTTAGCTTCAACGTTAGCATTTGGTTGTTTTAAAGCAAGAGTTCAAACCAAAACCAAATTATTAATCCATTACTTATCTTGGCATCTTCTACTAAATATAATGTGTTCTGATTTGGTTTTAGGCAGATCAGAACAAAATCAGCTTAACATTAGATTAGGTTGGACTGCTGCCTTTTGATGAAATTAAATATTTCCCGTGCCAGAAAATGTGACCCTCTTCACAGAAACGATAAGACCGTTTAAAAAGACGCATAATAAAACAGAACAAACTACTGTTTTTTTTGGTTGATGAGTTTATTTTCTTATTTTTCATGAGTTTTCTATAGTGATTTACAACATTCATTAAAAAAACTTTATGATAAGTGCAATATATGAGATAATAATGAGGCTTTCCACTGAGATTTAAACTATACAAACATAAACATCAGTAACTCTGACATTCTTGGACCTTTGCGTAATCGTCACACGAACATAAAGAGAACGACACTTTTCTCTTCACACCCACACACTTTCAGGAAGTCCCTTGGTTCAGCCACGTCACTCTGCGTTCTGAAACAAACCCTTTTGTTTGGTTTCAGCAGCTCATGCGAGCCACGCCAAACTCTAGACTAACAGCAGCAGGTTCTTCTTTGGCCAGTTCACTTTTGTATGTCCCTTCTAGCTCCCCGTAGCTCTGCTTCCTGCTCTCAGAACCACTGCTGCCCTCTACTGTCCGCTCCGTGCTCTCCGTGGCCTCCTCACCCACCTCGTCCTGCTCCTCCTCTCGACGCTGCGCTTCTTTCTGGTTGATGGGAGCGCCGAGGATGAGGGAGTCGGGGCGCGGGGGCAGCGGGTTGGAGCGCTGGTCTCTGGTGGGAGGAGGCGCGGGAAGGCCACAGCTTGAAACTGGGCTCACGCCGAGCTGTTGGAGCCTCTAAATACAGAGAGCAGAAAACGTGTTATATATTTTTATCATTTTATAATAACTTTTATAATAGAAAACCAATATTTAACACAAATATTAGTAATTTCAACATTGTAAATGTTTCATGTAAATTTAGAAAGATTACAGAAGCTGCATCAGAAATCTGGGAATATACACGTTTCATACCAGTTTCAAACTGAAATAAAGTCGTAGCTGATCTGGTCAAAGCTTTAGATGATGTTGAGCACCAACTTGTGACAAGATGCCACGCTCAGAGTGTTTGTTGAGGACGACTCTCAGCTACTACCACACCCAGTTTTAGCTCAATATCTGTAAAACTGGTTGAGTTGTAGCTTTACGTGCACGCTGAAGTGCATTAGCTGTGGTGGCCATTTTAAGTTAGGGTGACTAACGGTTGATGCACATCCAGGACCGGATTGAAATGTTTTCATATCAAATAAATCAAATGTTTCGTTTACATGCAGCGGGCTTTGTTCTGAACAGAAGTACCGACATGCGCAGAGTGGTAAACTCCTTAAAAAAAACACAGAAGAAGAAGTTCTACTTCCGGGATGAACGTAAACAAACCCGAGCACCCAAAATGGACCCGCGACAGGTTTTAATGACGGTGGAGACGTTCCTGCACTCCCTGATTGAGCTGCAGGTGACACAGATCATTTTGAGCTCTTTCAAAGTTTCTAGTAGAAACGTTGTCGCTCACCGAGCAGCTTTGCTTCCCCGACATGCTAATATTATTAGCATTAGCCAGGCGGAAATGGCAAAGTCAGGTCAGTTTTTCACGATCAGATAAAACCGAACGGATCAAGCATTTACACGCGCACCGTTCGGGTTATGACTTGGCGTAAACCACCCGTTTCGTTCTGATCACAAATGATTTCGGATCACGCTGAATAAACAAGAAACAACCCGAACAGGGTGTTTACGTGACGCGTTTTTATTCCGAACGGCCGTTTGATCCGGTTACTTATGTCCATGTGAACGTAGCTACAGTCAAACACACATTCACATAGAAGAGAGCTGTTGTTGCTGCTCTCGAAAATAGTTACTGAATCAAATGTTAGGTGAACGTAGATGTTTAACAACGCCTTAAAATACACCAAAATGCAGGAAATGGCATCTACTTTATTCAAAATTTCTGGAGGACGACGAACAGACCCCGCCCCCCCGCATTGCTATTTGCGTTCCGACATCCATCAGTAAGCCTGTCGCGATAAAAAAGAAATCAATTAATCGCATGATAAATTAAAATTATTGACCTCATTTTCATTTATCGGCTTTATCGTTTCTTTGTTTCTCTCTTTCTACTGAAGACACTCGATGACAAAAAGCTCAACTCAGGTGCTCTTCACTGACCCCTCCCTTTCTCTTTAAAATCTGTTTTAACGTCCAAAATCATGTTTTTGGACGTTAAAAGCAGCTAAGCTGAGAAGCTAAGCTACGAGCTAACAGGCCGACCTCAGGGAAAAAACCTCCATCTTGTCGAAGCTCCAAAATTCACAGTTGAAACCGGTGCCTTCGTGTAAAAAGTTGTTTTTCTCTGCACAAAGAAGCTGAAAACTTGTTTACCGATTTTTTTATTAAAAGCTTTGTGTTAAAAATGTTATGCTAAAGCGCTCAAACCACACCGAGCGTCCGCCGTTTTGAGAATAAAAAAAAAGGGGACAAGAGACAGCCCACGTCACGTCAAGGGGCCTCCCTCCCATTTTACTTAAAGAGCCACGCTGCTCGCTCCCTCACTATCCATCCTTCGGTTCAAACAGTCTTATACTGCCATCTGGTGGTCTAAAAAAGTACTACACGCAAAACAAATCAACATTTCTTCTTAAATTTGACAATAATTACTAATTATTGTCAATTTTCAAACAATATTATCGTTAATCGCAATAATTCCTGAGACAATTAATCGCCCAGCAAAATTTGTTATCGTGACAGGCCTATCAGTTTACAGATTAAAGTCCTGTGCACATCCAATGATTACTCATCTTGTGGTTCATGAGATATTTTGCTAACAGACAACAGTTAATGCCACACTGAGCTCACATCTGCCATTAGCTCTCATCCAATCTGGCCAACAACAGTTATGGCTCCTCTGAGCAGCTGCACAAACGTTTGTTGATGAAAATATTTACAAAGATTAGAAAAGAAAAAGCTAAAGAAACTGGAATCGTGACTTTAGTTTCTGCGCGTGAACGTTGACGAGAATCGGAAAGCAGCTCACGGTCTCCAGGGCCTGCAGCGTGCTCTCCACATTACGGCTGTTCTCTTTCAGAGTCACAAGGGTTTTGAGGATGGACTGCCGTGGATGCATGGACCGATCAAACTGGTGGTACATGCTCCTCCAGAACCTGTGAAGCACGGAGTAAAGTAAACGCGTAAATAAGACATAAAGAAATAAAGTGAAGCGCTTTATAAAAAGGTATCCTGCACTGACTTGAAACTGTTGGGCAAGGTGGAGGGCTCCAGCACAGGATGTGCTTCAGAGTAGGCCGGGCTGTAGAACGGGTTCAGGTGGTTCTGCTTCTCACCCATTAAGAAGGCCCAGAGTGAGTGAGTCCGCTCCCTCAACCTGGAGGACGAGCAACACGAGGAAACAACCCAACAGGTGATCAGTGGGGCTGCAAAAAACTCTGGTCTCGTTTTGAACGTCCGGTGAATCACGTGAAGCAAGGAACACGCGTCATGAAACAACGTTCTGGTGATTCTCACACGTTTCTGCTGCAGCGTCTTTTCAGCACACGACAAAAAATAACAGCCAGGAAGAGTTCAATGTGTTTAAAACAAAACTGAGAGAGGGAGGGAGGGAGGGAGGGAGGGAGGGAGAAAGAAAAACGTCCGTCCGTCCGTCCGTCCGTCCGTCCGTCCGTCCTTCCTTCCTTCCTTCTGCCCTTCCTTCCGCCCTTCTGCCCTTCCTTCCTTCCTTCTGCCCTTCCACCCTTCCTCCCTCCCTCCCTCTCCCCCCTCCTCCTTGCCCTTCTGCCCTTCCTCCCTTCCTTCCACCCTTCTCTTCCTTCCTTCCCGCCCCTCTCCCTCCCTCCCTTCCTGCCACCCACCCTTCTTTCTTTCCGCCCTCCCTTCTTTCTTTCTGCCCTTTCTTCCGCCCTTCCTTCCTTCCTCCATCCATTTCTTTCGCTCTTCCTTCCTTCCTACTGCCCTTCCTTCCTTCCACCCTGCCTTTCTTTCTTTCTTTTTCTTTCCACCCTTCCTTCTGCCCTTCCTCAGTCGGTCATTTCAATAATCAATGTCAAGTCAAATTTATTTATAAAGCACATTTAAAAACAGCAGCTGTTACCAAAGTGCTGAACAATAAAATCAATGGAAGTGATTTAAAGAAAAAATAACGAATGAATTAAGGAATCAAAAGAAAAACAGAAAACAATAAAACACTAAATCAAACCACACGGTGTTAAACGTCAGTGAACGCAGGCGTGTTATTGAGAGAGATTTAAAAACAGGAAGTGAAGTGGTCTGTTGATGTTTGGGGCAGATTGTTCCACAGTTCAGGGTCCACGACTGAAAAAGCTTCAGCCTGGTTTACGTCATTAATAAAGACTTTTGTCTTTTTAGGAAAGAATCAAACTTAATGAAAAAATAAAAGTGTACGCTGGACTTACTGCAGCTCCTCCCTCTGCCTCTGATGATTTCCCAGGAAGTTTCCATACTGACACGAGTGCACGTGCTCATGGATCTGCAGCAGGAACCACTCGCTGAACTCAAAGGCCTAAGGAGAGGATCACTGTTCAAATCAAACCCATTTCAAGTTCGAGGCACGATGTGGAAGTGACGAGTCCCACACACCTGTGGAAACTGCTCAGTCAGCTGCCACACACACTCAAGAAACTGAGTGAAGATGGGAGACACCTCCTTAGGATCTCCATCCAGCTGGTCACACCTTGGGGTAGAGAAGTTAAAGCTGCGGTCGGTTTGAACTCAAATTACACACAAGTGACTGAAAACAGGTCGACTACGGCAACATCAACGGAAGGAACAGCCATGTGGGACGTTTGATCATTTTGATGGATTCTTACTCATTTAGGCTCATATTGATCGAGTTAAGTACGCAAATTAAAGTTTTACATTGTTTACATTAAATTTGCATTTCAGAACGTTGTACAAAATATGTGAAAAACTTGAGTAAACACTTTGAAGCTGCACCGTGTGATGGGTTCAGCGCGAGCTGCTTGTGTGAGCGTTCATGAAGCATCTCACTGTCGTGATCCATTTCTCTTCTGCGTGTTTTTCAGCATCTTTCTCGTTCCACAGTTTTTGTGCCATTTCAACAAACCATAAATCAAAACGTTCGGCTGTTTCAGGACAATCCCGCTATGGTGTTTGGTATTGGTTCAACTTTAGCTTTTTGAAATATTTAGCCTTTTCTGACATTTTTTCCTCATAGAAAATGAATTGAGCTCATTTTCCAACCTTAAAAATCTTTAGCTCGGTTTACAACCCTTTACTGCTCCCTTCACGTTTTGTTCTGCTTCAGCTTCTTTCAGCTTCCTTCTGCAGAGTTAAACTTTTTAAACGCTACTTTCAGCTGTTTTGTGCTCCTTTTACATTATTTCTGCTAACTACAACAATTTTATGCTTCTTCTAACTTCTAATTTCAGCTCGTTATGCTCCTTTCGGCTTATTCATGCAAGTTTAAACTTCTGTTATTTCAGCTTGTATTTAGCTGTTTTTTTATGCTTTTTCAGTTAATTGCACCCCCCCCCCCCCCAAAACTCTAAACTTTTTTCAGTCTAATTCAGCAAAAAATGTACTCTATTTCCTTCTGGTAATTTAAGCTTATTTCTTATTTTTTAGCTACTTTTCAGCCGTTTTTAATTATTATTATTTAAGATTTTTGTGCTCATTTCGGCTTCTTTCAGCCTAATTGGGCAAGCATATGTTTAATCTGCTAATTTAAGCTTTGTCTACCTTTTCAGACACCTTTTTCAGCCTTTCTTAAGCTAATTTCAGCTGTTTTCAGATAAATTAAAGTTGTTCACGTTAATTTCTACTACTTCAGCCTAATTTATTTGTTTATGCTAATTTATTTATTTATGCTAATTTCAGATTGTTATGGTCTTTTCAGTTTTTTTCTGCTAGTTTAAGCTTTTTCTGCTCTTTCAGCTACTATTTAGCTCTTTTGAAGCTAATTTTAGATTTTTCAGCTAATTCCACTTTTTTTTTTTGGCTCATTTCTGTCCTTTCCACTTCCTCATGGTGGTTTAAGGTTCTTTTTGCATTTTCAGCTACTATTCAGCTTTGTCCCCCCCCCCCCCCCCCAACAGCTTTTTTTGGGGCTAATTTCTTAATTTTTGCACTAATTTCTGTTTATTTAAACATAATTCAGCAAATGTGTTCTTTCTGCTTTCTTCTGCTAATTTAGGCTCGTTCCTCCATTTCAGCTACATTTCAAAATGTTTTATTTTAGCTAATTTCAGCTGTTTTCAGCAAGTTCTTCTGCAATAAGCATTTACACTGCATTTTTGCAGAAAATACAATTCCTCTAGTTTATGTTTGGCTTCATAGTTTGCTCTGAGCACCTCATAGATATTTAAACTCTCACCTGTGTGCAAACTTATGACCAAAGGAGATCCAGTCTTTCTCTATCAGCACCTGTAAGAAAAACAAGTGAGGAAAAAGACACTTAGCACAGACAGGGAATTGGATTCATGCATCTGCTTCAGCGTTTGTGACTCGCACCATAAAGCCCTTGATGGTGCGATAGTAGGGATCCATCAGCAAAGACCCGAGAGCGCAGACTTGGGCTGTTCGGTCCCATCCGTCTGAGCAATGAACCAACACGCTCGTCCCCTCCACCGTCACCGCCTGGGGAACAAGCGCAGGCAACAGAAGAAAAACTATTCTTGAGCTTGTATGTTGGACCAACGAGGACGGGATTCATAAAAAAACTATTACCTTGGTAAGGAAGACCGCTGCGTCTACTACAGCCTTAATATGCCGCAGCCACCCGCTACTTTCTAGTCCGGTCAGGAAGTCACTCATGGTAAGAGACCGAGTCCCAATCACTGAGAGAAAGAGCAAAAACTGTAAAAGCTGCTTTCATAGTTAATAAAAAAATCGCAGCAACAGCTGTTCAACCTTCAAGCAGTTTCTGCAGGCTAGCCCTCATGACGTGGATGTTTTCGATGCCGACAAACTGAAAGCGGATGTTGGAGTAGTTGTCCTCGTTCTCGTAGCCTTTGCCTGCTGCTCGGTTTGCCAGCGCATTCAACTGCGAGGAAAAGATTGAAATCGAACAATACAATCACCACATTTGTTGTAATTTACACAAACCATTTAAAGGCTTCAGTCCTGATCGTCTGTCGTGTTGTTCTGAAACACGCCACGGTTGGCTGGTCATCACTTTACCTTTGGCCGCGTGTCCATGACGTAAACAAATCGGCTGTTGTGATTGGCCTTACTGATGGCCTGCAGCATGTTCTCGTCTTCGAGGCAGCGGGCGCTGAACCCAGAGAGAGGCTGACTGCACCGACACACGGCCGCCTGTCAGACAAGACACACAAAAATCAGATCGACCTTAAACGAGACATTTTACCATCAGATTTAAACACCAGAACACAAGAGGATCATCCGGCAGCTTTCCAGCACTTAACGAACAGAACAAGATCTTTGTGCTTTTTGCAGGTTTTAGATTTATTCATTGATTTTTAAGCTGGATTAATGACGCAGGAAAATGAGTTCAATATAACGTTGGACAGTCGGCACAACCCCTGCTGTTTTACAAGTCAAACATAAGAAAATCAGAAATCTAATTAAATTACGTGTTTGTCCTTCAATCCGCTGTTTTGTTACAAAAACTGAACATTTCTGTCTCATCCAAATACTAGTCATAATCTGGCAGAGTTAAAAAAAAAACAAAGGGATGTTGTTTTCCAACAGAAAGTCTGTGCCACAAACTTCCTCCCGTCTCATCCATGCATGGTATTCTTATCGAGTTTGTAGATTCTTATAAATACTTGGTCGATGCACTTCTCTCTTTTAAAACTACCGGTACATGTTGAAAACTTGATAAAGAAACTGAAATTAAAACTGGGGTTATTTTTCAGAAATAGATGCTGCTTAACTCTGAACGCCAGAAAACCCCTTGTAACCACTACCTTCCTACCGGCCATTGACTACGGTGACATTATTTACATGAATGCTCCTGCCAGCTGCTTGCAGATGTTGGATGCTGTCTATCATGATTCATAACTGGTTGCAACTACCGTACCATCACTGCACTCTGTACTCACTGGTCATCATTATCCACATGAAGACTCTCACTGGTTCATTTTCATCTAGAAATCCCTCCTTGGTACGCCACCTTCATACATCTCCTCCCACATGTCACGCCATCAGTGCAGCTACAGCGTGCGCTCTCAGGACATCATTACCTGCAGCGTCCCCTCAGTGCGGACTGAACTTGGCAAAAAGGCCTTTTCCTACTCGGCTCCTGCACCTGGAACACCTTGCAACAGGAACTGAAGTTGTCTACTTTGATTTCTTTAAGGCACATGTGACAAACTCAAGGCCCGGGGGCCAAATGTGGCCCTCGTTATGATGTCAAAAGTGCAGCAGGGAACGTTAAATGAGACCAATCAAACTCTTGTTGAGGAACCTGTGACCAAGAAAAGATGTCGGGTATTTAACTTGAGTTAATGTAGATGATTAAATTGGCCCTTAGTTTGAAAAAGGTTTTAATTTTGCACCACTTTTGTGAGTTTTACCCCACTGTGGGGTTTCAAACATTTCATAATGTTAATAAAAAAAAATCAAAGCAAATATGTTCGTTTCTAGAATTTCACCCTGTTTTACACACTACTTTTATTTTAACTGCATTTTTACTGTAGTTTATTGTTGATGTTGTCTGAACTTTATATGTTCTGTCTGGAACAGGTCCCTCTTGTAAATGAGTCCTCGTGGCTCAACGAGAAGAGTCTGTATAAATTTGAATGAAAAACAACAACAACCTGGTTTCCTACAACCTTTCTGCAAATAAAGATGACTAAATGAGCTTTGAACTTATTTTTTCACACTTTTTTTTTTTTTACCCATTTACAACACAAAAACAAAATCTACATTAAAACTTGATAACTTCCTTTAAAAGTAGTTTATTTTTGAAAACTCAGTTATAAAATCCTTTTTATGTGATCATTTAATTTCACTCTATTGGAACACTTAATGTACAAAAAAGGACCAAATTGGACGCACATAAAAAGTGCTGATAGCAAAGAGCACTGTACTTGTACACGATGTCTGGTTCTGAAAGTACCTTCTTCTCTTGGTAGTAATATGTGAGCACTGGGAAGCGTCCTTTGCTTCTGAACTTGGAGCTCCCAACGATGATAGGCTTACTGGCTGTGATGGGGACGTACAGGTCGCGTGGATATGTCTCACACACCTGGAATGGAAAATATAAAACAAAATGTGCACGGATCACCAAACACAACAGGTAAGTTTGAGATGAATATATTCGCAATTTAGTTGTGGTACAGAACAGAAGACGCTTTGACGCCCTCTCCTGGATCTCCATGCACAACATCTTCATAATGTGTGCAACTGGTCAGATGATTTATTACAAAATACGTCATATTTTATATCTATATATTTGTATTTTCTGTCAAATAAACAAATGCACGACAGAAACGTCTCAGTAGTTTGTAGTCGGCATGCTGGCAGCACCAAAGAGCTCCACAGCAAAGTAAACATGTGGCACAGGGAGAGTCCCAAGTCCTTTGTTTCTTTGAGGAAGGTGGAGTTTATGACATTCAGAAACGATGCAAAGGTTCAAAAAGTGCCAAATAAATTGTCCAGCCTTTATTGAATGAGCATACTAGCTTGATTTCTTTATTGAGTTATGATTACATTTTAAATTTACCACATTGTTGCCATTGGACCTTATACTTTTTCACTTGCCATACCCTCTTATTGAATACATTTATCCTTTAGTTTTTTATGCTGGAAAATATTTAATATTTGTGATTTTGACTAAAGTTTTGACATAGATGGTATTTAAGCATTATTAGAAGTAAACACAAGGTGAACAAAACGTCTATATTACAGCAAGAACTAGTTTTAATCTACCTTGTAGTCTCTGTTGACATCAGTGTGCTGCCATTGGTCGTTGGGGACGCCCATCCTCTCAAACTCTGCCCCCAGGTCGATGAGCTGCCACCCCTCCTCTCTCTGCTGGTCGTTCTGTTTGGGGTTGTAGGCGAACGCATACAGATCCTCATAGGACACTGCAGCAAGAAGAAAACCCGAGAGAAATGCCTCAAATCACGGACAAACAGGAACATGGGTGTAAACGATGTGGGCAACGAAGGAAAGGACTCTGCTTTTACGATCAGCGAGTAACACAAACACAGACGGCACCTGGCCGTAACAGACGCAGCAGTGAGCTGAAGATGTCGTGGCAGTCTCTTTCCCTCTGCAACACAAAATGGACCACTCTGAAGTTGCGGCAGTGAATGACCAGCGGGCAGCCTGTGGTGGTCAGACTTAGCTTCTCCACGGAGGCGATATGGTGGTGCAGAATCTGAAGGACAAACAACAACAAACATGTAATTACCAGACGTACTTTCAGACAAACTGTACTAGAAATTAAAATTGTACAGTAGTCCCTCGTTTATTGCGGGATAAGTGAAAAACTGTAAAGTAGGGATACCAAGTTCAAGTAAACTTTATTGGCATTACATCTCATGTGGTACATGAGATGGAACGAAATAATGTACACAAGAAGTAGTAGTAAGTAGAGTGTTTTTTACTATTTATATACAAGTATATTAAGGTGTTTTAAACCCTTCCCACACTCTTGCACAATTTTCTAAACTCTAAACGCTCTAAAAGAGCACAGCTTGTCATGATCTCCACGCTCTGCCACCTGCGGCTCTCTGCCCCGCCCACTTCTCTCTGCAATCACACTCGTGCTCGTCACTCCCAATCTGCCTCCTTCTGTGTAAATAAACACTTTAAATTTAAATACTGTACAGTAATAGTTTAAAAAAACAAGACATGTGCAGCTCATCCATCAATCAGCCCAATGTGTCATGTCCAATCTTACTTTGAAAAAAACCCAAACGAGCGAGCCCTCGAAAGTCTAACCGCGAAGTAGCGAGGGACTACAGTAATTTAAATACATTTACAGCTCCGTAGTGTAACAAGCACTCAGAATAAGAGGTGTAAGATATCGCATTATCTTTCAGAGGATACACTTGAATCTCTGAACCTCTACCAGAAGATTAGGAGCTTCAAGGTTTGAGCGTTTTAGCTGTTGACTCTGGACAAAGATTCCCGAGGGTGTTTTTTTATTTATATCTCCTGTAGCCACTTCTTCAATGTGGAGATCACAACCATGAGCGCTCTGATAACCACTGGCATGACTGTGGCCTTAAAGGCCACTCACAGATAGGTGTGTAACTAGGCCTGTCGTGATAAACAATAAATCAATTAATCGCATGATAAATTTAAATTATCTACCTCATTTTCATTTATCGGCTTCATCGTTTCTTCGTGTCTCTCTCGTTCTACTGAAGACACTGGACGACAAAAGGCTCAACTCCGGTGCTCTTCACTGACCCCTCCCTTTCTATTTAAAATCTGTTTTAATAATATTAATAATAATAATAATGTCATCACAATGTCAGCACTGTATGTTTCCATACAATGGCGAAATTAGTCTCTGCATTTAACCCATCCACCACCAGGTGGTGCAGTAACGATCCTAAGTCGCATTTTTGGATCATTAAAAGCAGCTAAGCTGAGAAGCTAAGCTATGAGCTAAGCTAACAAGCCGACCTCTGGGAAAAACGTCCGTCTTGTCGAAGCTCCAAAATTCACGGTTGAAACCCGAGCCTTCGTGTAAAAAGTTGTTTTTCTCTGCACAAAGAAGCTGAGAACTTGTTTACTGAATTTTTTAATTAAAACTTTGTGAGAAAAATGCTAAAGAGCTCAAACCATATCGAGTGGCCGCCATTTTGAAAACCAAAGAGAGACAGCCCATGTCACGTCAAGGGGCCTCCCTCCCGTTTTTCTTAAAGATACACTCGCTCCCTCGCTATCCATCCTTCAGTTCAAACTGTCTTATACTGCCATCCGGTGGTCAAAAAAGGTACTACATGCAAAACTAAACATTTCTTCTTGAATTTGACAATAATTATTGTCAAATTTCAAACAATATTATCGTTTACCACAACAACTTCTGAGACAATTAATCGCCCAGCAAAATTTGTTACCGTGACAGGCCTACGTGTAACTACCGGTAAATCTTGTGAAAGAAAAAAGTCTTTAAGGTTCCCAACGAAGCCCCCGTTTTCCCTGCTTGTCCGATACCGCACAACAGAATGTGTGCGTCTTCTTAAATATGAGTGCACGATCATGGAAAATAATAGGAATACACATTCATCAGCGTCAGTAACGATCACTTAAGAACGCACAGTCTAAATGTTGAGCTCACCATCTGTTGAGACAGTAGCTTAATTGTTGTTTAATATTTTATGTTCAGCCAAAGTCTCATTTGGGCTCAACAGTGACTGTAAAAATGCACCACACTTGTGCACATGCACAAACGGTATATGTTTGTCTCACCCCGAACCAAAGGGGAATAAAAAAACGGGAATTTCCAGTTTTCAACGCATGAGGAAGGAAAAACAGTGAGGATGTGATGCGGTCAGGAGTCAGATTTTTAAAAAGTGTCCACACTGCAGAGAAGAATGCTGATTTTTTTTTTTTTTACAATAACACAGAAAAGAATTGAAAATGGTGATCTTGTGTAAGTGCTGAAACAAGCCGTGGAACTAAGTGTGTAAAATATGAATGAGCAATTTAACAAGGCTGGATTATATATAAACTAAACCGTTTCCACAAATCAACTCAGCGCTGCAAACAAAATCAAATCATGAATTTCAACATCGTTCCATGAACCGCTGCAGTTAAACTAAACGGAATAAATTCCAGTGACTTTCGGTTTCAGGTGACAGCACATGTCTGATCATCTACTTGAACATTTTCTGTTTTCTTCCGTAATTCTTTAAATATTTAAGAAGCAACAAAAGCTTTTATCTTGCTCCTGGTACAACACAAACACGCTGCCTCAGGCTGCAGCTTGTTGGAGCATTCCAGCTTCACAATGGAGCTCCACTTAATTACAATTGAACTGTTTTTTGTAAACTTGATGTTTTTATACAGGAGTCTACAACCTGCGGCTCTTTAGTCCCTCCCGAGTGACTCTTGGTAGCTTTAACCAAAACCATCATGGAAATTATTATAATTTATATTCATGACTACAACAGAAAATGTTAGTTGTTGCTGTTTTTCTGTACAATTTTATGCAAATACATGAATTAAAACAGAGGCAAAATTATTCTAATATTAAAAGGAGAAAAAAATGGATTGATTAGTTTGCGATTGCCGTTTTTTAGCCACTTCTTTAGTCCCAAATTTTAGCCACACATGAAGATTTTTCACCAAACATTTAAACTTTATAACCAGTTGTTAAGGGGGAAAAAATGCAGTTTTGCTGACAAATCATAAACTACTACTGAAAGTATGAAATTTACAAAAATATGGCAAACTGCAATTAAAAAGAAACGGTTTACCTTTGATAAAAACTTAAAATTGACGGTATATGCCTTCAGCACAAGAAATTCAGTGTCACAGTTCATTTCCCAACATGTTGGCCCAACCACTTTAAGTTTATTAGGATGCAATATGTTTCATTATTTATCATTAGTTCCCCACAATTATACAAAGAGGGTTCACATGAGGTGACAGTTCAGCGTTTACATTTTATGAACACGAGTGTAATCTTTGTTTTTTTGGTCCCAACATGTAAAACTGACAAAAAATGTAAGAAATATATATTTTACAATGTAATAAATAAACGTTTTAATGTGTAGTATTTGTAAAAAAAACAAGTTGTTTCACCTCATTTAAAGCTTTAAGAAGGTTTTGTGGTTCTGGGTATGTTTTCTGTATCCCAAGAAGGAGGAAATATTGCTTTTGTGGTTGTATAGTTTGACGACGGTTGTTCTATAGATAAACTTTAGCTCTGAAAAGAGTTTAGTTTGGTTAAAATGAGCACAAATTCACTACAGTGTTGTCTGACAGATGTTCCAATTAGAGCAAGACCAACTGGCTCTGCATCAGCCCCTCAGTTAGAGGATGCATTAATAATGCATCACAATGAAAGGTAATTAGCAGGCTTGAATTAGGTTGTTGTTTTCACCTAAACAGCGTTTACATGGTGGCACTTGCGCAACACTCACCCAGACCTCCTGTCCAGCAGAGGATGAGTTATTGGAGCCGCTTTCCACAAAAATGAGATGTGTAGCTGTGAGGTACAGCGTGCCATTTGTGGATTTGTTGCTGTAGCGATCCTGCAGCCGCACCTGCTCCACCTGCAGTGACACAAATCAGGGAAAAGGTAACCAGTTCGTCACGAGCAGTGAAGTTTTCATCTTTATTTGTGTTCAAACAAACGATTCAAAAGGAAAAACTAGAAATGAACCACCTGGGTTTTACGATTGGTGGCCTGGTTCTTTATGTGGGGAAAAATAAACTAATATTATTGACCATATTTCAGCACAGGAGGTAAAAAAAGGCTAATGATTACCATGAAGGAACAAAACCACATGCAAGAACAAATGTACTTTTCCACAAGTAAACTACATTAAAAGAATAACCGTTAAAGTCTAACTTTCACCCAAATGCGTAGGTTCACTACCAAACAGGTTTTATGACAAAAAAATAAATTAAATACACCAGTATTGCCAAAAAAAAACGTCCCATCACTCAAACTCCTTAATGAAAATATAAAGTTTAGGTGAAGAGGGTCACACCCATGTCTTGAAGCTTCTGTTGCAGAAGACAGCAGCTGCACTTCCATCGTTTTATTTGGAACAAAAGGAAGTTATGACACTGCAGCCAAGTGATTCTTGGTGTAAAGTCATGATTCATCACACTAACTCTTCTCTTGTTGACTCAGACATCCGTTTCCTTCCTGCTGTTTTGCTGTCGTTTTCTGATGTGATGCAATGACTTAGCCCGTCTCCCAGCAACCCGAGGGTCCCCGTTTAGTCATAAGCAGGAATCTTAAAACCTAAGTGAAACAATAAGCTAGTGAAAATGTGTCAAGAGAGTTGACGAAAAGTGACAAATTCCTTTGCAATCTTATCAATCAATGAATTTGGATTGATTCTATAAAGGAATATTATTTACAAAAACAGTACCAGACACAAAAAACATGTTAATGTTCTTGTTTGGTATCGCCTCAGAGGGGACACACCCAGTCTGCAGATAATCCTACAATCTAATCTAACCAAGAACTTTGTAGATACTATACTGTACTCCAAATCCAAAAAATTAAAAAATGACATCCTGCTGCAGGACATGACGAAACATGCTTCAAGATCCACACCTTGTTAGGCAAATAACTATCTATTGTATTGTCATGTCTATGAAAGTGATTTTTATGTTTGGCTGGTGAAATGCCACCCAAAATCACAAGCGGTGCATTCAATATGCTTTTAAATATTTAAATTTCTGGCTTCAGCTTTCTTTAAATGAAAAACAAACCAAAGAAAAAAGTTTCTTGAGCAGGACAAACCAGTCAGGGCCTAACCTGTACTGCAGCACTTTGCAATGCATACAAGCTGACCCCTGTTGGATTAGGATAAACCCAGTTTGGTTATGGTATAATAGCTGACCCAAATAAAAATCTAATGGCTTTTATATAAAACAGGCTGCTGATCACATTTGACGTGTCAGCTACAGTCCAAGTGTTTGACAGGCCCATGAATGTCCAAATGACTTAATGTAGCTTGATTTATCCTTGTGGTCTTCTGTTAGAAACTAAATGGCTTGGCTGCATGATGCAAGCTAAATTAATAACCAGGGCGTGAATTCCTTCTAACATCACTGAAAGGAAAATGATCCAGTGCCGAACTGATGCTAGTCACGTCCGACACCGAGCAGCTGGTGACACCTGCTAACCGTCAAGCTCGAAGCTCTTCGATGAAACCTCATCCATGCCAACACTAACATGATAAAGCGTAACACCACCTAAGCTCAGTAAAAAAAAAAAAAAAAAACTTAAAAAAAAAAAGAGCAGGCCGAGTTCGGCTTCTCATCCATTTGCAAAATATAGCAGGAAATGTTAGCTAACCTTCGGCGTTCGGATGTGTTCCATGTCCGCTACAGCACCGGTTCACAGCACGGCCTCTGGAGATAAATGTATCATTGGATAAAAATGACCGCAACTGCAAAAAAAAAAAAAATCCCTTTCCTTTTTTTTTTGTTTCCGTGTTAGGATTTCATTTTATCGTCAATCATTTTGCTCCTTCATTAGCGTAGCTTGCTATGACGTCAACACGTACTTAATGTTTATACGTCAACCCGTAAACGTGCATTTCAAAATAAAATCACTAATAAAAAAAATCGCCAAAGATCTCAAACATAAATCATCAATTATAAAATAATCCACGTATTAACACATACATATAAATGCCAGTTTCTTTTCTGTAGATGAACATGTTAAGGATGAATGGACAGCTAAATTCTCGAATTAAATATTGAATATTTCCTGTGAATTTTACTTGACTATATTTTATATTCTAGAGTTAAAATGTTTTTAAGGTACATGAATACAAATACTTTTACAAATAATGTCATAAAAATCCAAAATATCAAGGCACTTGCGGGGTTCAATATTTTAAAATATGGCCTGCAGATGACATTATTTAACCTTGTTTGTTTTTATTAATCAACCCGGATTATTGAGTTTATAAACCTTTACAAAATTCGCAGGCCTTTGTTGAGTGGCCTATTTTATTTTGAAAGCACGATTAGACTTAAAGTTCAATGTGCGCATGCGTAAATTGTCACGGGACTCAGCACTTTGGGAAACGTAGTTAAATGAAAAACCATTACCCAAAATGCACTTGCACGCAAAATATACCACCAGGCGGGTAATAGGAAAAGTAGTTCCATGCGGAAAGTGCTAATTTTGGGACGTTTGAAAGCTTAATAGCAGTAAAATTTGTTTTACATTTTCCTAAAATTGCAGTCGAATAGCTTCGTATTTACCTGGAAAGTGATACGTTTTCGTCCAAGTGAGTTTTGAACAAAGAAGACCGCGGATTTGGCCCGAGCACGAAGGCTAACTGACGAGCGATGCTGCGTTGAGTTCGCCTAGCCTTTTCTTTAGCTTTCGAAGTCCAGCGAGCTTGGTGATTGTAAATGTATACCCCCTAAAAGAAAATGTCTGGCTTTAACTTTGGTTCGGGGACCCTTGGCTCCACCAACACTGGTGGTGGATTCACTTTTGGATCCGTAACGAGGTAATGCCAATTTTAGCTAGCTGGGCTAACGTTAGCATAGCCTAAATGTCGCGTGCTTTGCTGTTTATCATGTTTTTCCACGTATGTGGGAGCAAATTTCGGTGGAGGACACTTTCCATGTGATGCTGCTTTTGTCTTTTAATTTAAAATAATAAAAGACAAGGGTAGAAACTCGTTATGTAATCATCAACAGCATCTTCATGTGGGAATGAATATGATTTTATAAAATTATTAATTAAACGAGGCTTGTTCTAATGTGCTTTTGCATTATTGGTATTCTTAACCTAGAGAACCACTAATTTAATATTTACTTTCTTGCATTTTTACTTTTGAAACGGATTATTTTGATTCTGATTACTCATTCCAGATAATAATATATATTTTTTTTTTCTACCAAGCCTACAAGTTTTACCTCGTTTAGCAAATATCTTTGGTGTATTGAGAAGAAATGTGATTACGTTACTAAAATAACTTTTTCTTTCTGTCTTAAGTACTCCTGCACCCAGTACCGGTGGCTTTTCTTTTGGGACCACCCTGGGGTCAGCAGCTGCAGCCCCTGCCTCCACCACCGGCTCTCTTGGTCTGGGAGGCACGCTTTTTGCTCAAAAACCTGCTGGAGGACTCTCCTTTAATACACCTGCTCCAAGTAATGATGTCACGCATATATGGAAAATTAACAGAAGAAGTCTTTACAATAAATGCATTAAAATGAACACGTTTCAGCTTGTCATTCAACGTGTATTTACCATTATGTTGTTGTTCTCTTTTAGGTGCGTCTGCACCCACCACAGGTCTAACATTAGGTGTGTTTGTGTTTCCAATACGTTTTGAACTAAGATTTATTAACTTTTTAACTACCGGTATTATTTAACTTCGAGTTTCCTCTTTTCCTTTCTTCCCATAAATTTTCTCTCAGGTGCTCCAGCGGCTACATCTGCTGCCACTGGCTTTAGTTTGAGCTTCAACAAGCCGACGGCCTCAGCAACGCCCTTCTCCCTCCCCACCAGTACCACCTCCTCTACTGCAGGGACAGGCTTAACATTTAGCTCTGTCCTGACCGCTACAGCACCACAGCAGCCAGCGGCCTCTGGTTTCACCCTCGGTGGTGCAACCACCTCCACAGCAGCCTCAGCATTGCCGTCATTGGGCACAAGTCTCTTCTCCAGCACTGGAGCCACAGGTTAGAATGTAAAAAATATATATGTTTAGTTAAAAAGGGGTTGCACTGTTTTAGTGTCTCATACAGTTTGTGTATAGCCAAGACTTCATTGGCAAAGTGAATAGAACAATTATAGATTTGGGCAACGTAGGTAAGTTAAACGTTAGTCATTGGGGCTAGTTTGGATTTATTTCTCAATTTGCAAAACCTTGTTTACTTTCATTGCAGGTTTGGGTCAGACAAATCTTGGAGGAGTCGGGCTAACCTTAGGGTCTCTGTTGGCGACCTCCACAGCAGCACCGGCTGCTCCTGCCCTAAGCATTGGCCTGGGTGGAGTAGATTTCAGCACTTCCTCTGATAATAAGAACAACACATCATCTGGAACCAGTGCACAGTACGTCCTGTTAGCCTATATGCGCACGGCTCTTGAAATGCTACAACAAATAAAGTGCCAACTTTATGTAATTTAAAAAATGTCAAAACGTCTTAGAGGCATTTAAGGATATATCCATCGTGTGATTCAGAGTAATAAAATTCTTTCTGTCTCTCAGGGACAGCAAAGCTTTAAAAGATGAGAATCTGCCCCCGTGTATTTGCCAAGATGTTGAAAATTTTCAGTAAGTATTGGATGTGCACTGATGAGGTTTGTCTTTGTTACCTGCAACAAAAATGTCCTTCCTTCATTTTCTTGCCTTCTCTTTTTGCAGAAAATTTGTAAAGGAGCAGAAGCAGGTTCAGGAAGACATCAGCAGGATGTCATCGAAGGCCATTTCAAAAGTCCAAGACGACATCAAAAGCCTCAAGCAGCTTCTGTCTGTCTGTGCCAGCGGTCTGCAGCGCCAGGCTCTGGCTATAGACAAACTGAAGTTTGAGACTGCGCAGGTAAAATGATCCATAAATTCAATACGATATACGGTCTAAGACGTATATGTGTTTAAGTCCGTCAGATATTTATTATAAAATGACATTTATCTGTCATAAGTGTTCCTTTTAAAAATGATAGAAAGGGCAGCGCTAAGAGTTAAGTTGAAGCTGCTGATATCTTTTACAACTTTTTACCATCTTGTCAAACTGATACCGTTTGTGTTTAAGGAACTGTGTTGAAGCTGAGTCTTTAGGTTGAAGTGTCATGCTTTGTATCCAGGCTGCCACATGCAGAGTTAACTATGTAATTGTAAGAGTTAAATGATTTTTATAGGAAATATCCGTTTTTCATGTCATGGATCGTAAATTCCACCACAGCGCCCATTTTTGTTGAAGGCGTCAACCTTTTTTGTGTGCGTCGTCTCATTTTTCTCTATTAAGAACAAATGACTTTATATATGTAATGAAAATAGTTTACAAACTGACCATTCTTCTTTGTTTTTGTCTTGAAGGAGTTGAAAAATGCTGACATCGCGCTGCGCACTCAGAAGACACCCCCTGGGCTCCAGCATGAAAACACAGCTCCATCTGAGTAAGTTGACGTTTTGAGGAATGGTGTTTTTAGCGAATTTAAAATAACTATGAAACACGGCACTTGGGTTGACCTGTCTGTATGAAGGTGCGTTAAAATGTTTTTTTTTAGAAAAAGTCGTTTTATCAGGAACATTTTAGAATCAGAATGTAACTATAGAAGTCTGCCTTTTCGTGTTAAGCCACGTTTTTGTTATCCTCCAAGTATCAGCGAGTAGTCTTTTGAAATATATATATTTTTCTAGTTACTTTCGCAGCTTGGTGGACCAGTTTGAGGTGCAGTTGCAGCAGTACCGGCAGCAGATAGAAGAGCTGGAGAATCATCTGACAACGCAGAGCAGCGGCTCACATATCACCCCTCAGGGTAAGAATGTGCTCCTCTCATTTATGGTTTTTAAAATGTACAAACATCAAACTGTAGCAAGTTTAACACAGTTGGGCTGTTTTATTTTTCTAATATGTATGTTTTTATCGTGTTTTCCGTCGGACACGTTGCATCAGTCCAAATATGTCTAATAAAGTGGAAAAATCCATAGATCCGTTGCTTTGCCATATATGTCACATCTATTATGTGTCACCACTGACAACCAGGAAATGTGGGCCGGTGTTGTGGCAAAAATCGATTGGCTGCCAAATGGTGGTTGTGGTAGTGTTCATGAAAGGATTTTAACATGAAATTAACAAGATTAACACTTAAAAACAATTATTTGTTTGCTCAAAATTATACTAAATGTGTGTCTCAGTTGAACTTCTTAATAAATGCACTTGGACGGTCAAATCGGCTGCATTTCAAAAGCCGATAGCCAGAAACAGGAACGCGCAGGGAGCGACTCGCTGTGCATTTCTTCGAAATTTAACAAGATAAGCACCTAAAACAATTATTCGTTTGCTCGACTTTATAGTGAAGGTGTGTCTCAGTTGAACTTTTACTTGATAAATGCACTTTGATGGTCATTTTTGCTGCATTTCGCCGGGGCAGCGCAGCGAAAATTAAGCTGGTTTGACGGTTGCTCCAAGCAGACGAAGGTTATGGCAAACCGATTGTGTCATTAATAGCCCACTTTTACCTATTACATGACCCAACGACATACCATTCTACTCAAGTGCCATCTAGCTGTTGAAAATGGCAATGTTCAATATTTTCAGTCAGAATGAATGAAAACGGTCGTATCAGCCAAAAATTGGTTCATAAATGTGGAAAAAAAATCCATAAATATGTCGCTTCGACGTATAAGTTGCACAGCATGTAAATTATGCAAAAAAAAGTGACTTATAGGCCGAAAAATATGTTAATGTTATATTTTAACTCACTTCAAACATGCAAATGGTTTAAGACTGTTTTATTTCCAGATCTCACCCTGGCCATGCAGAAGTTATACCAAACATTTGTTGCACAGGCTGCTCAGCTTCAGTCTGTCCATGAGAACGTTAAGGTCAGTCAAGTTTTTATAAGTTTCATCAAATCGTTTGTTCCGTGTGCCAGCTTTATATCAATTTGTCTGTTTTGTGTCCTCCTCTGCATCTTTCTAACAACTTTCACAACAGATTTTGAAGCACCAGTACCTGTCGTACCGCAGAGCCTTCCTGGAAGACTCCACGGACATCTTCGAGTCCAAACGGGCGTCTAACAGGAAGTGGCAGAGTGCGCCGCGGGTCACAACCGGGCCTGCCCCGTTCTCCAGTGTACCCAACGCTGCAGCTGTTGCTATGGCAGCCACGTTGACCCAGCAACAGCAGCCAACTCCAGGTCTGACTGCCTTCAAGTTGTAGAACGTTCTCTTCCTCCTCGCCTTATTTACCCTCATAAATAAGGAAAAGGAGTTTTAATTAAAATGAAGTTGTGAAAAGGACCGGATGATTGTTTTTAAATGTGTGATATTTTGGTAGCAAACAGTTGAAAAGGTGCCAAACAGGATTATTCAAAACCCTTGAACAAAACATGTATATGATGATAAGCTTTCTGTTTTAATGTTACCAATTAGTGGCGTTGCAGTTCTAAACGTTTGCTGTGATTTAGAGATAGTGCTCAAACTTACTCCGATCAGTCCATATATTTTACAGAACTGTAGATGCTTCGTGCATTTAGAGGAGAGGACGGTATAACTTAACAGATTGTAACTCTCTGCTCTGACTTTTAACTTATTTTCTGTAGGAGAGCTCTAATCTGTGAAATGACCTTTGTTTGAAGCGCACGGCTTGTTCAAGGTCAAGACACAGTTTAGAGAAACCTTTCTCTAAAGAAATGATTGTAAATACTTTAACCAAGTTGAACTTGCGCTGAAAACCAACTGGACTCGGTGTGTTAGGTTTAATAAAATTCTCTGAACATTTAACGGTGAATTATCTTAGTTCTATTCAATTTTCGTAATTAACGAGGCCTAAATTATATTCCTTATTAATATGTTTACAGTGAAATATGAAGCGTTCCAGTTTTAGGATTCTAGGAGTTTGTGCTTTGGTAACTGGTCCATTTTCCTGGTTAATCTGTCTTTTTGCCCTTTGGACATAAAACAGTAAAACCTTAATCCAGCGTAGTTGAACTGGACGGGTGGTAAAGTCTGACATCCATCTCTTGACAAACTCGATTCGAGCCTAGTTTAATTGACTAATTCCTGCTGCTTCCTTTTTACAACACTTCTTTTAATGTGCTCAGACTGTTAGCAAAGGCAAAATCTGTGAAGATGCTCTCACCTTTGATCATACAGCAGGAAACATGGAGGCATTTTTTAAATAATCACATTTATTATGCGTCAGTGGATCCATTACTTTTCCCATTTACACAAAAATAAACCACAAACAAGAAGCCGTGTAACCACAGCTCAAGTTCTGGTCAACAACTCTAGTGCCTGCTTCACGTACGTATTTTTGTTGCTGCTGCATTCTATATTTTATGAAAAACCAAATTGTTTTTGTTCGTTCTTTAAATTACGAGTGCACTTGCCACCCAGTTACAGTTTTAACAAACTCCTCATTGTTTTGGACTCGTAGCTCTTTAAAGTTTAACACCAGAGATGCATGAACAATGTTTTCTGTGTGTGAATCATTTATAAAATTTGGTCTATTGGCATAAAGTTTCTACAAAGTGACACACTTCATTCATTTCCTACGCACAGTAACAAGTTGTATTTATTTACCTATTTATTTTGATTGTGCGTGACTGCGCTGGCCTGAGATCAGTGTTAAAGCAGATATGACATTAAATGGGCAGCTGGCTGACACTTCCTCTGGTAGCTGGATGGCGTGGACCTGGATTGTTAGGAAGAAGACAAAGTGTCAGACGACTCAGGACTGAAAATATAAAGCAACTGCCTGAAATTGAAGACTTTGACCACATTGCGTATCTAAATCAAGTACTGTGAGAAAGACCTCTACATTTTTAGTTTAGTAAACGTCCAATCCAGATTTTCTTGTACTCCTTTTTTTTTTTAAATTATCACAGTCAGTAGATCTTTGAGGTTAAAGGTGTCAGTGTTTTTTTGGCTGCTTTCTCACTCATTTTCAGTTTGACCATTTTCTGGACAACTTTTTTATTATTATTATTATTATTGTTATTATTATTATTATTGCTTGTTAATCCACATTAATCTGAACTAGGAATGATTCAGCTCTATAAAGGCTCATAAACTCAAAGACAAACCAGTGATGTATTGACAAATAACATACAATTTACTGTAGT